ATATTAACAACAATCTCATTGTCTCTCATTTCTTTGCCCTTAGTTCCGCCGGAGTGGTCCTGCCTCGATTACAGCGACTGTCATTGGCCCACAATCCATTTGTCGGTACTGTTGAAGGATCGGTCACTGTCTCCGAATCCCCGTCACATGAATTCTATTGGATCCACTTAGTTGGCCGTCTGTTGCAAGCGTTCCCCAAGTTGACTTACCTGAGTTTATCCGGTTGCTTTTTGGGATCCCTTCAGCAACACCTGCCTCTTTTTGCTCCCATTGATTTGGGTATGTCGTTACCCTGATACACCGTTCTAACCCGATCCCACGGTTTCCTATTTTCGATACGCGTCTTTTACGACATGTTTTGGCTATTCCTGTTCCAGAATTGTTGTGACCATGAGCTGATCACATAACATTTCTTTCCCACTCAACCTTCCGCACTTACGATGTCACCTCGATTGGTGATGAACAGTTTGCAATCTAACTGCAAAGCTCGCCAAACAGACCAGCAGGCAAACAAAGTATCACATCAACTCGACTGGCTACAGGTCATATCTATCATGCAATGAAAGCTAGCTTGAAAACTTATCTACCACGGGGTTAGATGTTGATTCGAACTGGTATTTCTTGACTAGGATAAGCTGTCTTAGCCCGCGAGCTACGGTAAGCTCAAGAGAGATGCTAGTCTTCCATTTACATAAAAGTAAAGGTACTGAATTTACTGCCCTACTTTCAGAAAGGAGCTTGATATAGCCCGGTGGTTACGGCTCCAACTTACTGACCGGAAGGTCCATGGTTCCAACCCAACTTTGACGTCTCAACTACTCCTGTATAGGCTTGTGCAACTTGACAGTATTCCAGCCCTCGTGCTTCCTGCGGGTAGCATGACAGTTAGGGACCGAAAGGATGTTACTACTGAACTACTATTCATTGTCTATTATTACGGACGAAGAGTTATCCTCATCGATCCACTCATCATTTCACAAGACAGTACATTCTTCTAGCAAACTTCCACAAGAAATTGAAAAAATAAACATGTCTTCTGTAGAGGGTTTGTTCATCAGCGATATCCAAACTTTTTCACTCCATACAGCGATATTTCTTGTCTGTAAGGGCTTTTTTCTCCTCGGTAAGTTATCGACACCACTATCATCTAAACTGATCAAACATGCAATCCTACGATTTTGATTCATACATACGAAGGGCACGAAAATAGAAAACTGATCTAACCAACTTGAATGGATTTAATGAAGCGAAAGTTAAAAGAAATCAGGCCAAAAAACTAGATGGGCTGTCCTATAGTGTTACTCGCGATAGTAGTTTTATTTGTGAACTTGTAACAATCTCGCACGAAGCTCTAAAGTCTTGAAAGCTAGGCGGCTAGTGACCTTGCTGAGGTTTGTATGGCTGGCTGTTGGCAACGGGTGTTGAGTAACCGGGACCTGCAACTGGAGACCGAATTACGCATGCACAGGCCATGGTGCTATCCATAGTCTTGTAAGGTAGTGAAATACTAACCATGTGCCAGCGCAGCCTTTGTTACCTGAGCAGCTTCAATTTGAAACGCTTGAGGCACATGCTCAGTATCAACTGGAATGGACAGCGAGGTTCTCAGACAGTCCCGCTATGACCTGTACCGGAATGCACGATCCCACTCAGCCGTCTATGGTAGTTGGGACGTGTGTGTCGAGCACATGGAACAGGCTCTTGAGACAGCTTTTTACGGTCAACTGAATGATGAAAAACACGAATATGATGGACGAAGTCGCCAAGATCTCGTCAACTGTCTGTATCTTATGAAATGAAAAACGGCAGGGATCAAAATAATACGAGCCGGAGTTCGCCAGTTTAATAGTTGACAACCTCGAGCAGGGTTCTGAAACGTTTAAGGCGCAGAGCTAATCTAGGACTTGTTGGACCTAGAGACAGAACAATCTGCATGTGCAGCGATTGTGGTCGTGTTTGCCCTAGATACCGTGGACTGATTGGTCGTCAGCAGACATGATGATCCTTCGGCGAAACGTCAGCGGATCAAGCAACGTAGAGCCAATCCTATCCCCTATAATAGGCCAACGTGAATTAACACGCTGAACGCTTCGGTGTTCTGAGCCTGCGATGGTGCCAAAAGTGACTTTCAATGACCATCATCGTATACACCAGATCAATCCAAACCACTGCTATCTACTGAGCGCCGTACAGTTATACAGTTCAACTGCTCAAATATTCCAATTTGCGTCTGCGAGAAGCCCGCCCAAACACCCGGGTTATTCCGGAGCGTTAAACTTATAACGATACTAGGCGTAACCCTTTTACAAAACGAGCTGATTACCGGTCAGCTGTGTGCATGCCTTGTGTACACCTTGCGAGTAATGCAGACTACTAAACTATGGGGTTCAACTATTCAGGTGCTTCCGCGTGATTTGACAACTTTGGGGCGTTGCGTGAACATGCTGATGGCTACTACTGATGGACTCAAGGAGATAGATACGTCCTTGGATGGCTGTAATCGGAGTTGGCTTGATGCAGTGTACAGTGTCGGTCAACGGCAACAGCTGACCTACCTGGAACAGTTTTGTACGTGGAGGGACTCATGACTGTTCGTTCGGGAAGTCCTTGCGTTTCCATGAGTTTTTTTTTTGCATTGTTGGACAACTATTTACCAGCACCACACCTTTACGACAACCGTATAGCTCTTATTGACTCAAAGAGACTACACACGTTCATCGAGGGATAAAGAGGTAGCCATTTGTGTGTGTAACAGACTACTGTTAAGCCCCGGTACACGTGTACCATATAGTGGTCAGGAGTGTACTGGCTAAGTCGGGGCATTTTGGAATTTGGATGTATCCATAAATTACTTAATGAGAGACCCGTTGTGCATTCTCGCACTGATGGTGCATCCTCGGTTGGTAACGAAACGTTTTCAAACCATTTGACAAGCTCAATAAACGACCGTTCGTTCGTTCAGCTGTAGCACCCTTTCGGTGCCTAACCGCCATGCCACCAGAAGGAGGCACGAGGGCTGGGATATTGCCAAGTTGCCCAAGCCTAGACAGGGGAAGTCGAGAGGCAGAGGTTGGGTTCGAACCACGAACCTTCAGGTCAGCGAATTCACGCAATAACCACAGAGCCATCTTGCCCTTAACAGCGAACGATAAACTTCATAGATTCACTACAGACCAGATAATTTGGCCAACGTGTGATAATCCTCTGTTGAACATTGGTTCGTGGATTTCAGATGACTTCTACTTATTTTGTATTCCGTATTCATCCAAAGCGCTGTTGCTAATGGCCAGTCTTGATTCTGGGTCTTTTCATTCTACTGAAGAGTCGTTCGTCTCGAGGTTTACACGATCGACTCTCCTAACTTCCCCAGTGGCTCTCACTCATGTGTAGTGACTAAGTGCTTTATCCAGACTAAGCGGCCTTTCATTCTATCGTCACGGCCACCTCTAGATCGTGTTGATCAAGGTACGCTTAGTAGGTCAACAACAATCCCATGACTGTCTTGCTGTTTAGTATGTCTATAAGTCCCCCTGGGACCCATAAAGCCTGTTGTCCGAGATCCAAATTCTATCAATTTTACAGCTTGTCACAGCTTTTCTACTTAGTGGTGGGCGTGTTTCTGAGGAGCAGTTTCTGTGTGTTGCCGCCTGATTACGGGAATGTTCCTCTCCTCACAAGATCCTGGTCGTCAGTGGTTTCATACAAGTTATTTCATTGTCTTGAGATACGTTTCGTCCCTCGCAGTGAGAGAATGGGAATAGGCAACGGTCACTCCCTTGTCCACATGCACCTTTATGTAATTTTTACATATATATAAAACTTACAGGCAGATACATGCTCCGAAGTTTTTGACACTCCTCGAATTTGTCCTCCTTGACAGGTACTACCGTCTCAGCTTTGTCTGAAATTGATCTGAGTTGGAATCCACACCTGTCTGCTGATGATTTATCCCTGTTGATCTCATCCACCGCACTTGCGGGCTTGCGGACTCTCAGTCTCCGAGGTTGTTCACAATCATCCGCTCCTGTCCGGTATGCTACCAGTTTACCACTGAGCTCAACTCAGGCTGAAGAAGCTCGGTGGTGGTTTGTACCATCAAAGCTTACTGCGTCAAATGCCTCGTCATTCAAGTTTCCACTTGAACCTTCCCATGGAGACCGTCTCTTGGACACGCTTTCAAAACTTCTGATAGAGGTATGACGTTTTGCGCTCCCTAATCGCCATACTGTTTTACTGGAACAGATATTTTCCGTGTAGCCTAATCAGGGTTATATTTATGTTAGCTGAATGGCCGTACTCGGTGGCGCCACTGGAGTAATCCGATTGGCGCTCTGGACCCTGAATCCTGAACGACTTTCCTCCTGTTTAAATTTGTCTCAGACAGTTCTCTGTTGGGTTTCAGTTCGAACAGTGTTCTCAGCATGCGTTATGTTTTTTCCCATTTCACAGGGACGTTTCCGTCTTCAGGTGTTGGACATGGGTCACTGTCAGCTAACACACCATTGCCTGGACAGCTTGAGGAAGTAAGTTGGCAGTAATGGCTACGTTGGTGTTTTTTCATCGCTGACCTTATTTTTTAGTGTAACTATCTCCTGTGAGAGAACGACCTACGCCCTCTTGAGATATGGTTAACCCTGCTCGCCACTTAGTTTTAGGGTGAACTTTCAGCATCCGTGTAGCCGAGTGCAGACTAGAAAGCGGCACGGAACGTGCAGAACACAGAACCGTAACTCGCCCAATCCGGGCTTTTGGATAGTTTCTGTTGCGACTGAGAGACCCACTGGCATCTCAGTTCCGATGCTTCTTTCGGATTGCGGCTGTGCACCACCAAGCGCTTCGGTCTTCTCAAGGAGCTGTATGGACGTAGTTATGGAAGTGAAAAAAAGTCGACATTCCATTTCTACCAGCAGTGTGTGAGCAGCTAGTTGGTCCGGCGTGCGTTTTGGCTCTTCCTAATTCTGCCAAATCAACGCGCTAGATCAGTAATGAACACAGTGATTGGCATCACTACTGCGCGTCATTCTTCTTCCGTCCGTTTTCCAAGCTCAGACTGCGCCTCTGTTTTAAGCGAGCTTCCGGTGTCCGTATTTCCCAATTCATTGCATGAGCACTTTCACAATGATGCGTTAACTGACTGTGTTGTCACATACTACTATGTATTCTCCTCTTCTAGTTTGGTTGGCACTCCTGGAACTTCCCTGACCACAATTCAACTTGACGGGAACTCTGGCCTCTGCGGTTGTTCACTGTCTTCTGGTTTGATTTGTGACTCTTGGATCCAGGTTCTTCAAGCTACCGCTCTTACGGCCTCCGCCGTAGTCTCGCTGACAATCGATATACCCAACGGTGAGTTTCATTTTACATAGAGTTATTGTTCTATGCAAGTGTTTCCAACATTGTATGATCTGCTTGAGCCTCTACACCCACCAAGAGGACTGACTGGTTAGTGCAGATTCGGTTCTATGTATCAATTGGCAAATGACTTCCGGTGCCCTTGATAGAGCGTCCCTTTATCACAGCCATGAGTGAACCTCCGTAGCGCCCCTAGGGAAAATTGCCTTTCCATTATGCTGACTATCAAGGTTATTTTCACTCCACAAGCCCACTAAACTCAAATCAGGAATAAATGGTCATGTATTTTGCAACCCTGTTTTCCTTAGAATATCCAAGTTTCACGGGGATTTTTTTCTGGAGAAGTACATTCTCCGAAGCTGTGTTTTTAACTGCCACTACATGTCTGCCAGAAGTGAAAAGTGCCGTAGGGTAGGTACTTTTTATGGAATGATCATCTCCTCTGGATAGACCACTTTTGTTCTCTGCAGGTGGTCAGTAGCAATCGACCAACTGCAGTGCGGATTTGAATCTGCTTGTCTACCCACATAGGTGAGTACTGATACTGTAGGGAGATTTGGCAATTTTCAGTGGAGATTCCGTTTATACCGAAAAGCCAAGAAGCACTGTACAGGTGTTTCATCCTTATTGGGGATCGTCAACAATGCGCGTCTCACGAAACTCCGGTAGGGTCTCTAGCCCGTGACCTACCGTCTAACAGTTTAGACTCTCATTTCTAGACTTCGGACTTCACCTACAGGATGAAATCTCAATAAAATTTCCAAGTCTCCTTACACTATCATGAATCTATGAATAGCTCAGAGGAGTAATCTCACAAAATGAATAAATCTTCCATCTGTGAACTCGTCATTCGTGAAGCGAGTCAATATGTGATGTGGTTTCCGTCATTGAAAGATGATTGGAATGATGTTCCGCCTAGGTGAGAGCTACTCACAGTCGTTCGCGGAAAAAAACTGTGAACTCTTAAACCATTAGCCGGAGAGTCGCGGGCTCGAAGCTCTGAGTTTCGTGAGATTTGCATTGCCGATGATTCCCAATAAGAGTGAACCAGTCGTACGGTGCTTCTCGGCTTTCTAGCACTGGTCAGCTCCACCCACAGGGCGGAATCTCAATTGAGCATAGGTGAGCGTTGGATGCTATGTGGATACTCTTACGAAACCCCGGACACACCAGACGTACCTGTCGTTCTCTTTATCCCGAACTTTCAGGCGGCTGTTGTTTTCGCTTCCGTTTAGTGCAATTTGAAGTTTATTGTCACTATTGGAACGGCCAGTTTTCTTAACTAGGTCCTAATCTGCTACAGGCTCCTAACTTTTTCATCCACTGCTGTTTACCGTAATTCTTAGTTGATGGCGACAACGATGCTTTGTCTGCAGCAATCAACGCTGTCGAACTCAAACTGCTACCTCAATGCTCTCCCACTCCATTACAACAACTGACTCTGGTCGGTATCCCATCAGATTGGCAACCTCCGAAATCGCTGTTGCTTTCGAATGACCGGTCCCGTTCCACCACCACCAACTCACATCGCTTGTGCAACGCATTGACAAACTTGTTCAGCAATCGCTTTGGATCACTTGCCAAATGCAAACTCATCAGTCTCAATCGAGTGAGGTTTGGGATTTTGTGATTCTGAAATCTCTCCACCTCAATCGTATGTCGTCCTTATGACTGTGATTGTTGGCTCATTGCCATGATGTAAACAAACAAACAAACAGATGGATATTTTTAAATCGACCCCAATCATGTCTATACCGTGCATCTTTTGTACTTTTTTGTAGCACAATCCCATTTACTGGTAAACACATTACTCCAGTATTTATCCCCCATACATTGTCTTTTTCAGCTGATGCATCGGATCTAGTTTGGTTAAGCTTTGGATCAAAAGATTTGTTTTTGGGCTCATGTGCATAGCACACGCGGATAGAAATGACTGCAGTTTATCCTTCCCGAAGGCCTTGTTAAATACTCTATAGTTCATTTCGTAAGCAGTCCTAGAACCTGGGACAACAGTAGCCCTAATCGAATGGCGGTTACCATCACATGTACGGTTGGTTTGCTTTCGTGGTGCTCTGGCGCGGCCTTCGAACAAAGTCGACATAATGTACCCTCTGCATTAGTTGCTCAATGTAATTGGCAAAAGGATGTAGCAATTAACGGATCGACATCAAGGTAGGACATTTCCAGAAGTATCCACCTTGGCCGTTTTGGATTAGTATTGTTGGTGGACACTGAGCAAGGCTATTCAAATGCCCTCTACCAAAAGAGGATCATATGGGACATTATTAGGCTAACTGACGACTAAGTAGATAGACTGGACATTTCCAGGACCAGTGCTCCACTGAACTACATAAGAGTGATGGAGGGATGCAGCGGTTATGCGACACATTCCGGATCACTGGTAATGTGACGGTAAATTTTTGGGTGAGATAGGTGTGGGTGTTTTGATAGGGTACCACCTGTGGTCAGGGGCCAAGGCATGCCCTGGTGCAGTAGCTCGTCTGTCTGTCCATTTATTTGCCAGGTGCTCTCTCCTGACGTCTACGTGTGTGCCCGTCTGTTCTCCTATCCTGAGTGATTTTCGTGCAGATTATACAAACGAAGCTATAATCTCGAGACTGAATCAGGTGGGGTAACCCGGATAATCGATAAGACAAACTCACGGGTCAGCGTCTCATTTTTATGCGGCAAGATTGTTGGATCTCTCCTTGAAATTCACTTCCAGCCCCGGACTTAGTTGTTTAGCTAGTACCTTTTTGGCACTACAGACACGAAGTAAGACTTAAACTTACAGCTTGACCCGAGAGTTCTACGATATTTTGGTATGTTGCCCATAGTTACTACTCCGCTTAGTGAGAATCGATTTTGCTTTCGCAATAATCCGTAGGCCATTGAAATTCCTAATAGTCAATGGTAGTTTTACTTGTTGCCATACGCTCGTCCAAGCTTTATCCATTCCACATTCTGCGCGCGAAGAAGACGTGTTATGATACGATGGTTATTAATCTCATTAGTCCTGCACTTACACAAAGATGGATGTTTTTTATTGGTTTGTAAATGACTAACTGAAACCAACCTTGCCTCATCCAGTATTCCAGTCCATTTCCATTGGAGTTGTGCTGGGAGCGAAATGTCCATTCGAATCAGTCGATAGAACGGTTTCACTGCTGTATTGTGGTGAACTTGGTGCCCTCGGTACTCGACCATCCTTGTCACATTGCAAGCTTTTCCTATTATGATTGTTGGGGGAATTTCGGTTTTCTAGGTGCTGACTAATGACTTCGACCTGTCGGTTGACCATCGGCCGATGAATGGTTGCCTTTCGTGCGGTAATCAATTCCTCATTCCTTTCATTCCGCGTAACGGATGGCTTTTGACACTGCCCAAAAACATTTTGTGGCTGTTTGTTCTTTTCTAACACAGTATCTGACTTAGAGGCAAAAATTTCGGATTGAAACTGCCCCTCTGAATATTCGGCCTGCTGCGGGATGAAGGAAATCGACGTTCTTGAGGCCCTACCACCCTCTTTCAAACTGATTGCTGTATGAATGATGTTCGTACCATTATGCGAATTAGGACTTCTCGTGTCTTCTGTTCCTTCGACTGAAAACCAGTTCTTTACTTTGGACAATTCCATATCCTCTGCAATAAAATCTTGCTTTCTCTTGCGCACCGTTACTGGTCCATACTCATGCACACTCCATGCTTGCAACGGGGAGCGCAGGTTTCGAGTTGCACCTGAGGTCGAATGTACGGAATCTATAATCTCTTGGTAAGCTGAAATAGATTGCAGATCCTCCGAAATTGGATCGAGTTGATCAAAGCGTTCAAAACACACATGATCATCGTCTTCGTCGTCTTCCGTTTTGCACTCATTAGTCTGTCTGGTTAGAAGCGTGTATGTTGAGTTCGGTGAATCAAAGAAATTGTTTGATCGCCTGTTTAACGATCGTAATCCTGCGGGGCAGTGGAAAAACAACATTGATCTTCTAGGCTCTACAGCAACCGTTTTACGGTCATTGCTACCAAGTGTGTGTTTTTGGTGATACTGGAACTCTTCGAAAGGTGTAAGCCTGTACTGAGCAAGACTAGGCTTCTTGAACAGTTCAATCTCTTCCATATCATCATTCAACACAGATGCATTGTTCGTATTACCCGTTAGTTCCACTACTCCTCTGTTTTGACATCGCTTCTTAAGGAGAATAATTGTTCCAATCAAAGATCCAAGTGAACCAAGCGCTCCAATAACCAGTAGAAGAAAATAATGTGTACATTCCGTCGCATCCGCTGCTGAGCAGCTAGCGGTAGACTGACTGGAGCCCATTAAAGTCTGCCGTGCATGGGTTTATCGATCCGTTCGATAAACACGCGACTTGTGGTGTTTGAATAGACTCCTGCACGTGATAAGAAACATGTGTACTACTATTTATGAGATGGCACTGTCGGGAAACCAACCGTTTTTGGTACATAACATGAACAACATCGCAAGTATATCCTATAAAGCACACAGTCTCCTTGTCGTTATTCAGTTTGTTACGGAAACGGGTGCCGACCCAGGCTTCCAATAGACCTTCAAGCGTTCCACACTGTATTCAGTTGTTCGACCAATAGAACGGATGCTTTGGAATTCTCGGTTATGGACGTTTCCCGAAATTCCTGTATCAAGGTATATCCAGGTTTTACTTTGGTGGAATATCAACTATATGTAAAGCCTTAAAGTGGAAATAAAAGATTGGGTGAGGGAGGAGCCTCGTGCAAGCATTCTGATGTACCTACACCTCCAAGTGCCCAATCAGACAATCTAGAAAGAAGTTGACAGCACAAACGCCGTTGTACCAATCGACCACGATTTCTCGCAATGTCTCCGTTTAAACTCAGGGCCACGGGAACCCTATCGTGGAAGGCGAGCCGCATAAATATCAAGATAAATTCAAGATTTCTAAACACTTTTCAAGTCATACTTGTCCACCCTGTGTTTTGCATCATTCCGAGGAATTCACGGTGAACAACACTGGTCCCAGTAGGCGATGTTTCGGCATGCGTAACACAACCGAACCAATGCAGTTGAAGATGCTGGATGTTCTTCGTGAGTAATTATCTGCTGCACGACCAGATAGCCATTTTCCAATTGCCTCTTTACGAATTCGTTGACGTTATCCGACACCATCAACTCTTCTGAGATGTCGGTGGTGAAGGGCCTGAACACATCACCACCTAATTGCAGAGGTGGTGGTCTCGAGACCATGCAGCAATAAACCTGTTACTGTGACCTGGTTAACACGACCCTCCACGCTTAACTCAATGACCTGAATAGCGTCTGCTAAGGTACGTCATTAGTGGCGTCGAAACGGTATACCAAGGTATTTCAAGGTTCGCATGTACCAGGCTACAGTAACGGCTGGTGGGATGTGGCCTCTGCGGAGAGACGATGTGAAGTGTCTCGAGGTTCTTGACCACCAATGCCCCAAAAGCGTTGCTGGTATCGAATGGCGCCAACGGATTCGTAACAAGGTTATTAGAAAAGGGCTGTCTGGTCGTGCAGTAAAGTCTATCGCTAAAAACATCCAGCACTATCAACTACGGTGACTCGGCCATGTGCTATGCATGTCGAAACATCTACCAAGTCGAGTGTTGTTCTCTGTGCTCCTTCAGAGTGACACAAACCGCGAGGTCGACAAAGTATGACTTGACAGAGTGATGTGAAAGAGATCACGAGGTGGTACACGCTTTCCAAGATGGGGTCCCCGTGACCCCTCCTCTCTTGGTCGAAAACTGCAAGAAATGGTGACTGATCTATGTCAGTGGTGTTCATGCTGTCAGTTTCTGTCCTGTCTTATTGAGCGTTTGGAAGTGTAGACACTTCGGAATACTTGCGATAGTCCAGCACGATTTCCCCTCCCTCACCCACTCTCATCTTTTTTTCTTACTAAGGCCTCAAAAATATAATTAAATAGACTTTATGGTCCTACGGCCGTGGATTATCAGTGTCAATACTTATGTTGATGTCTGATGATGACGATGGATGTTGTGACATTTTGCTGCTCTAGCACTAGGGCGGAAACGTGTACCACACTAATACGACCAAGTACTTTCAGTAACAACATATATTAGTGAAAAGTGATGATATCATGCGAGAAGTACTAGTTTGCATAAGTTAGCCGACCGAAACTTTCCGCCTGTGTTTAGGTATGTCCCAAAGGACTTTCTACTATTGGTTAATTCGTGACAGTGGCTCATGACAAAGATTCCATGCTAAAATTATGAAAGCCTTTTTATTTATTATTGCAGCATCGTAAGCGGAAGTCGCCTTGAACTAGCTAGTAGAACCATCAGGTTATTCACAATAGATGTATCTACCTTGTGGCTTGGACCGTGGGTCTATCATCCACGGTGCACAATTCGGATCGCGTTTGTGCGGAGCTGCGGTGTCCACGTGTGCAACCAATTTGGTGCGAAGAGTGATGATACCGAAAAGGCTTGTTATACATGCAACCACAATATTTCAGTTATGTGTACTGAAGACCAACACCTATTGAATGAAGATACCAGAGCACAAAGTATATCAACCAACAAGTTCAGTGTGGTCTCTCTGAACATCATGTGACACATCGTTGGATCCATTGCATTCCTCCTTATTTTAATGATCGCCCAAAAATTCTATGAAAAGCAACCGATAACTCGTCAAACTTTGTTTGAAGCTCTGGTACCGTATATTTCGTACAGTGGTCGCGTTTCAACTTTCTTTAGGGCTGGCAAGCATTCGATATGGATTCGCCTGTCAACAGTGGTTGGACACTTGTGCCTTTGAACATATTCATGATAACATGGTTTGCGCAGAGATAGAATTTCTTGTGTGTGAGCCTGTGAGTCGACAGGCAAACTCAGAAGCCTGTTGGCAACCATCCGCCGGCCTAAACGTGACGCCATCAAAATAAGCAAATGCTACGCATTTAACAGTGAGGTGCCGGCGTCCTCCGTCAGCTTCTTTACGTTTCGGCATTGTCCAGTACTCAGCCGAAAGTACAGTACAATCATATCCTCCGGGAGCTGCCCATCCCGAATTATTTCTGCTCTCACGTATAAAAAGGTGGCACAGGTGTGGCAGGTACATAATTTCAAAAAATGGAGTGACCTTATCTCAATTAACCTGTCGGCGCTCCGCAGCTGATACAGCCTGCAAACACCGGTGTTGCACAACTACGCTTGTGCTTATGTGGAGACGTCCATAAGCTGAGCAGCTGTGTAAGTATACCGGTGTTACGAGTTGCTTTCAATAAGATCGTTTACATTCGAATTATCGAGACCAGCTGAGTCTCGCAATGAGACACCTATGTGTGTGGCCTTTCGTCGAGTGTCCCTGTTCACTGCAGGATTTTTTCGTGATCGGAAATTAAGAGCAGTGTTGCTTTGTTTTGGGATGCAGTCTGGTCCTACTCCGAACCAGTGTGGTTGGTTGTAAGTTAGGATGCTATCGTTTCCGAAGATGTATTGCTTGTGCACAACCGGAAAATTCGGCGTCCAATCTGACCAATGTGTGTGTGCATAATCCTCTGCAGACACGCAGATGAAATTGATTAAGAATGCGGGTATGAAGCCGGTCTATCATGTGTGGCACACTACCATACAGAAGTGTAGGTGATACTCCGGATTTCGCGAATAATTCCAGATGACGATAGCTGAAAGCGCGTTATCGGAGTCTCCAGAAAGCGGCACTTGCTCTCGATCTTCATTCGTTTTACCCCCAGAGATCATGTGGTCGGTGGTCCCAGTGCTGCAGAGGTAGCAGAAGGTTGAGCAACAGGTCTTCTCATTGCCATTCTCTTCTATGTTTGAGAAATTTTTGTAGAGGACATGTGTATCGAAATATTTGTTTTCAGGCCACTATAAGATTCTGAAGACAAGAATGATGCTGTTAGTTGCCGCAATCGCATTTTGGAATGTGCCAATGGGGCACTGTCTTCGGCAAAAACAACATGAGGGCGTCCGAGTCACCAATTGTTGATATGGCTAGAAGGCGTTGAGAATTGAACAGGTGACCACACAAACGATAGCAGGTAACCGTTTTAAGACACACATACTGTATTTAAGTAAGGAGGAATCACTTTGGTGCCATAACGAAGCCTTATTGAACCCCTGTATCAGTCGGCGAGACATGCCAGTTAAAACGAAAGCGGTACTGGCTAAGGGTTAGTTGCCACTGAAGAGTGCAACTCGCGAAACACAGCACCCGACCGTTGAAGCAACCTTCAAAATTGCAGATGGATGTCTTGTCGCAATGTGCGAATCGAAATGTTACAAGGATGAAGATGACACAGAAAAGTGGGGAAGGTTTGTTTCCATTACCCGAAGGTGGCTTAGGTGGTGATGCTTCTGACAGCAGGATGATGTCAATGGTGACCAGAGTCCACACGGAGCAGTTCTGAACAGTGAGTCTTACAGCGATGAGCGACTGTTTGTCATCGAAAAGGTCAAAATATGTCTAGGAAGTGATGAATAAACTTCCAAAACTGCCTCCTCTTGTGGAGAGAATCTTTGTCAATCTGCAGGAGGAGAATATGTGACCAAAGGAATGACTAATCGGCGGAATAAAAAAATATTCACGTTCAGTGAATCCAATCGCGTCGAAGTATTGGGTTTCTTTGGTTTGGTGTTGCGTATCTTTGCTCCCCCGGGTGGACCGGATAGCTTCTGTCCGGGACAGATTGGTGTTCTTTCACCCGTGTTGGGATGTCGTGAATGCCTTTCCGTTAGTTGGAGATCAACTTACGGGTTGATGATGAAAACGATTCATCAGTGTGTAATTATGATCTAATAAGCCCGTTCACAGAATCACAGAGAGACCGTATCACACTTCCCAAATGCATGCATGTAGGTCAACATATTTTTTGTGTTTCATTTTCGTACATATTTTTGTCAATGAACCGCGAAACAATTAAACCCTGAGTTATGTTATGCGCACGTTAGTCCTTCTCGGTCAGCAGTATACTGGCCGATAGGGACACCGCGTCAACGAAGGCTATCCAATAGTGACATATTCCCACTACGGACGCAGAGTTGAAAGGGGGAGAAAAACTGTTTAAAATGTACTCCCATTGAAATCGACCAGCATATTCTTCATCTATGATTACTGCACCAATGAATATGCACCGAAATGAAGTGAGACAATAGCTAATGATTTAACGATGTATGCTCCTAATGAAACATGGTCAAGTGTCAAAGATCCGTCCCAGCATCTGATGAACGGTTAATATGGGAATTGTGGAACTCTTTTTCAGTGCTTGTTCATTATTGTTTAATATTCCAAGAATGTCCAGGAAAGTTCAAGAGCATGCTTGAGAATGTTCACATTTCGAAAATTTTGTGCAAATGAGATTTTTAATTTTGTGTTTGATAGTGCTTAACCGCTTAGTTTATGTTGGTTGACAAACAACTCTGTATTGAAGGGCGTTCTTGTCTTCGTTCATAGTGTACTGGTTATTTATATTGTCGTAATTATGCACCTTTTGTGTAAGAACATGTGCTAACAAGACATGAGGAGAGTAACTTGTTGGGAAGTTTTCGCCTCCTAAGCATTCTGAAAGTAGGTTGCTTGAACTATCACATACAGAACGATCTGTGTCGGGGCTGTTACCCTGTTTGACAGCGTCCGAAAACGGGGGGTAATTCGACTCATCTCGTACTTGCCCCTTCGATCAGGATGATGTGAGATTAACACCTGTCAAACAAAATACTTGTGCTGGATCAGTTGCTCTGTTTGCTCTTTAACTGCCACATCGGGGTGAAATTGTGGCTCTAAGAAACAGATGCAGCAAACTGATTCGACAGTGTATTTCACAGTCTTTATTTGATTACGAATACGGCGTTGTTGTTATCACCGGTTACTCATATCCAGATTCTCAAATCTGGTTTTTGCTCGGACTTCCTTCATGACCCTCGTATTATTTTTGACCTATTACCTGAAAGGTACAAGTGTTTATCTATAACGTAATCTCAGCGTACACAAACATCCCTAGGGCAGATGCTCTGGAGGCAACCAAGAGATTGTTACTGGCAGACACGACACTCGGGGAACGGACACAGCTCTCGGTGGATGA